CACATGTTTTTCGTGTTTGCAAATTCTTGCTGGCAAAATTTTTTCCAGCAAGAATTTGCAACTTCTCTCCAAGAGAACTGTCACTTTGCTCTCACAATTTTTGAGTGTTGGATAATTTTTTGGTCTGCACGAACGCAATTTGGGCAAAAATCGTGATAATTCGTACAAATTCGTACAAATTTTTTGCTCGACGAACAAACCTATTGTCTCTTACACTGTAAAATTAATAAAAACTCAAAAAATCAAAACCGCTACAGCGAAAAAATGGTTTGAAACACCGCATAAATTCAAATCCGCATAAGAAGAGACCTAAGTGTATTTAACTTATTTATAGACCGATTTGGCTGCTGTTATATGTTTATTGGTTATGTAAGCAGAAACATTTTTTTCCAAAAATGACCTCGTTAGGTGGCGCCTGGGTCGAGATATTTTAAAAACCCGTATTTATGCTCTGGTTTGTTACAAATTTCGCATGTTTAGTTGAAACGTAGTAAGACATAGGACTTACAAAGAATGGAACATAAACAATCGTGGTACAAAGCTCAATAAAAATATTCAAAATAAAAAATGTTAATAAGCCACAATAACATTGATAAATACATAGTTTAGGAAGAGCATGCCTTAAAAACTATACAATAAAGCAAATAAGCAAATGGATATTTAAATAGAACTGACAACAACAACCACGCTGTCGAGTTTAAATAGCGGCAAATCTGCTGCACGTGATAGTAGGTGGTTGAATAAGGAAAAGGAATTAGCAACAAGAGTTTACGGGGTGTACATAGCATAAACAATCGTGGTACAAAGCTCAATAAAAATATTGAAAAGTTAATGTTATTGTTTTCAAACGCGTAACCCGAATCAATTAATTTTAACTTGCGCGTATGGTAAAACGATTAAACGCTAAATAAAGATTTCAAACTTTCGAATACAAATTTATTAATAAATCCGGTTTGAAATATGGACTTATTTGCAAATGATACTGGGGTCAGCGTAGCCGGAATCGGACTGATAAGAGTTAGTTTTTCTAAACGCGGCCGAAGACTTACAACGCAGAAAGGTATTTTGCGCCAAAATCCATTCCACATATAACCGAACGTTTGCCCCTTTTGTTTTTTAAAGAAGAAGAAGACTAGTACACAATAACTTGATAATTGTAGTTCTCGGCTTGCATACTTACAATAAATAATCAATTTTATTTCACATCAATGTTGAACAGTAAAATATATATATTTTTACCAAAAGAAACAACGATATTGTCAAAATATAATTGAAATGGAAAATATTGACTTCTCTGAAAGTCATGAGGCCCATGCGTCCCAAAGTAATTTCCACTTTCAAGTTACTTAAAAGACATGCAGTCAAATGGACAAAGACAATATGTACTAAACATTACATCGAAATATGTAATTTCAGTGTCTTAAATATATCAGAAACAATGTATCGGGGAAACTTTCCATTACGGCCGTTTGTTAAAGGTGCGGTGGGCGAAGGGGGAGTGGGCGTGGCACCTCCAACCGACCTTTTTGGAGAGGGCATGAAACGCCATTGGCAAAAATGAAACCCCCGACCACCTAGGCCCCGTATGGTTCCCTACGGACCCCTTAGAAAAATGGCCAAAAATCGCAATTTTTACTTGCGCCCCCAGTATTTTTGCGTAGAATTCCTTTCTGCGTAGGCGGCTTTCGGCCGCGCTTAGGGATTATAACCCTTACTGGGGCTACCGCCCCAGTGATGATAAAAATGTCTTGTATATAAAAATGTATTGTGCAAATGAATATTTAACATTTTTCANGGGGCTACCGCCCCAGTGATGATAAAAATGTCTTGTATATAAAAATGTATTGTGCAAATGAATATTTAACATTTTTCAAGCGAATAAACGCAAATGAAAATTGTGATTTTTGGCAATTTTTCTAAGAGGTCCTTAGGGAACCATAGGGGACCTAGGTGGTCGGGGGTTGAATTTTTGTCAATGGCGGTTCATTCCCTCTCCAAAAAGGTGGGTTAGAGGTGCCACGCCCACTTACCTTTCGCCCACCGCCCCTTTAACGAACGCCCTTAAAGGAAAGCCAACCCATCGTATCACCGTAATAGTCCTGGCTAGTTATATTGTGGTATAATCAGATGACGTAAGGACCTTAAAAAAAATTAAAATTTCGTCGGTGATACCATGATAAAAATAGGTTTGTTCGTCGAGCAAAAAATTCGTACGAATTTGTACGAATTATCACGATTTTTGCCCAAATCGCGTTCGTGCAGACCAAAAAATTATCCAACACTCA